GAGAACAGCCTCAGACTAAGTGTAACAGTGACGGGGGCTTTAGAAAGAAAGAAACGTGCCCAACTTTGGGAGCAGCTGAAACTGACACACCTGACCCAAGACATACAAACTACATTGATTATAGCTCAAATGTGTACATGTATACTACTGGCACATCTCTGTTCCTGCCACTAATCCAAGATTAAATGGGATCACTAACTTGAGGGATCTTTGGGTCCGGCATAAAGCATTGTTGTCCTTTAAATCCCAGCCTGCCATGAAACACGTTTAGAAGTTAGAAGTATTCTACAGCAGGTATTCTTTCAAATGAGAAGGTATTTCATATTAATAAACTAACCAACTTGTTAACACAAAGAGTGTGCCTGCTTCTTCTCTTAGGCACATAAAACTGTGCTACTCATCCCTGTTAAATGATGCTTTAGAAAACGTGATAATCAGTGTGATAGGGAGGCAACAGGAGAGAGAGGATGTGAGCTCTCGCTTGGAATCTTCTGAGGCAAGAGTATAAAACATGTATCAGCTTCATATTAATCTTTGTAATGTCTCAATGAGGTAAAACCCCCCAGAAAGCAAATGCTTACTGACTGTTCTGTGGCGTTTCCATGCTTTACAGTTTGCTTCTTTTATAAATTATCACCATATTTCAGAAAAAAAAAAATACAATTAGTGATCAGTAGAAAACCCTGTCATGTGTGTCATCATCACCATCTCTTCCACACCTGACTTATTATTCCAGATTCATGCTGCTGGAAATCAATGTCACGAGCCACCCATTGTACTTCATGCTAAGGCTGAATTGACAGGCTAATGAAAGGAAAGTAGGAGCAGTGCAGTAAGGTTATTTGTATGACAAAGCACAGCGAGACTGTCATGCAGTGAGGATGCTGAGAAACACCTCTGCAATAAATGCTAAAACACTGGTATATATCTCCCTAAAATTCAGGAACAGATTCTGAAAGTGAAACACTGTAATGTACTTCCACTCTTTACATGGATTTTTTAAAAACACTCACTTTTTTCCAGTTTCTGGACTGAAAAAATCACCACCACCACCAATGCAGTGGCTGATCAGCATAAACCATACTTGCTTGCTACCAATAGCACTAACACTAATCTGCCCAGCAGAATGAACCAAACATATTATTTTCAACATTTACAAAGTTGTCATGAAGTAGAAACTGTAATCTCCTCTGCTGACAGCTGGGAATTAATGAACTCTAAAAAATTGTTACTTTGCTTCATAGACGCGCTATCTAACAGAACCTTGCATGAAGGAGCAGGTAATATATGAAGTGGGAAGATGGAAAAATGCAATTTTCTTTATCTCATTGATTCTCCATGTATCATTTATAATGATTATAATATGTAATACCTGCAGTACTTTAAGCCTGCCATGGCTTTGTGGATGTTAATTAAATGAATTCTCACAAGACCCTTGTGAGGTAGGCAAGTAATTTTTATTTCCCTTGGTGAGAAATGGCACAGCTAAAGCAGAAAGTTTAAATCACTTGGTCTTTGACACACAGGGACTCAGTGTCAAAGACATTTATAGCAACTGCGGCTCTCCCCTGGGTATCTCTTCGGCTGTAGCTCTCAAAGCACTTAGCAAAAGCTCCTTTTTCTCTCTGCTTTTACAAAAGAGGAAAACCAGAGACATTTACAAGTGTTTCACTCAAAGTTGCTACGCAGTTGGCAGCAGAGTTGGATCAGAAAGCAGATCTCACGCTGCAGGGCAGTTCTTCAGCCAGGTCACCACAATGAAGCAGAGTTCTATCACTCTGACTCATCACTCTTGATTCATTTCTTTTGTTGAATCACACAAGTTAAAGATGGCAACATTTGATTGTCACTTAACATGACCTCAGGATAAGAGAGCTGTAATGTTCTCAGTTATAAAACTTCTAATCAGAACAAGATTTGGTTAAAAAAAAACCCACAAGCTTTCTGTAAAAAGAAGAAAAAGAAAAAAGGAAAAAAAAAACCAAAGAAACACCTTTTTCTTTTGTCAGAAACACATTAGAACATTGTCAAAATACGGTGGATGGAGACTTGCCACAGGGACTTTGTGAAGTCCTGGCTGAGGCTTTAAGTTACCTCCTCAAGGCAGAGGAAGCAAACCCCATAGTGCCAGTCTGCAGGTACACACAGAGGAGCGGATCCACACCTCAGCGTCTCTGTAGGTACAAACAGTACAAACTCTCTTTGCTCAAGGCTTGATGCAGTCAGGGGGAAGTGAAGGTTCCTTGTAATTATCACAACCTATAAATTGCATTAGGAAATTCTCCATCATTTAAAAGCTGGACATGATAAATTACTGTTTTGTGTCAACAACAACAACAACAACAACAACAAAAATCATCAGCTGGAGGTGTGGCAACAAGGGGAAGAGTAGCATTTACTGAACCAGATCCTTTTTTTTCTCCCCTTAAGAACACATTGCTGCACCAGCCTTTAATGTAACGCTTGTCACTGCCCCATGTTTGACATCAAATAAATGGCCCCCATGGAAGGACAGCAGTGCATACCTTTATGCCTGGAGGAGGAGCAAGACCCAGGAATGAATAAATAATATTTTCTTCTTTAGCAGAGAAAAAGGATTCAAAATCCTAAAAAAGGAACAAACAAACAACAGAGAATTGGCAACAAAGATCAAACAAAAAGCACAGGAGGAAGAGCCTAGCCCGGGCAAATCTTTCTTATATTGTTGAGAATGACTACGCATTTGTACAAGCGCCTGCATTGTCTAAGCCCCTGGAAGAAGACTCAGATAAAGGGAGTTTCGCACTGGCTGGCAAAATGAACAAATGGGCAAATCTCTCCAGAGGCTTACACTTTAATTATATCGCATCTATGTCAGAATCAGATAAAATTAAGTATCTCATTTTCATGTGCCCCAGCTGTACTCACCAAAGCAAAGCTGTTCCCATTTAAATGTTAAAATAAAACTTGCTGTGAGTAAGAACACAAAATAGGCCCTCAAAACCCTGGACAGCTTCATGGCAAATAAAAGGTAATAGTCAATGTAACAGCACAAGTGAAATGATGAGGAAACAGTTTATTTTAAAGAAAGGCACTCTGGTTAGAAAATGCAGTTACTTTTCAGACGAACTTAGCAAAGGACTGTGTTGTTCCAGCTGACATATATGTACCAGCCAAAATGTCTTGTCCACATGTGAACTGAAGTTATAAATCACTACATTAAATGCCCATTTTCTCTTCAGTGTTAATACGATTGACGTGAGGGATGGCTCCTATCCTACCATCTAGAACTTGCATGGTCTTTACTGTGTTCACTTGTGCAACCTTCCTATCAACTAAGGAAGCTCTGCTGTCACTAGTGTGTTACTGGGAAGTTCATGACTCACATCTTACACAGGTAACAATCAACGTGTATTTAAGATCTCAGCAGAAACTCTGGTCACAAGCGACTGGCCCACAATCACAGAGCAGCTCTGTGTAGGACAGGGGACTGAACGCATGTCGGCTGAGTCCGACACTAACTGCCTTGACCACGTTATCATCCTCCCTCTCATTACAAGTAACTCCAAAAATAGAAGCCTGTAAATAATAAGGTGCTGACTCATTCTTGAGACTTGTTTGTGAAGCTGGGTTAGGACCTGAGTTGTTTTATTGGACTGTTTTACCATTTACAGAGAATAAATTATTGGCGAAAGGTAACCCTAGGGAAAGGCTGGGGTGGATGGTTTAGAAGACACCTTAATGTCACCAAGACTGGAATCAATGTCATTTCAGTCCAGTTTGGAAGAGGCAACTTCACTTAACAGACAGGATAAATGTCAGCCCATTTCACTGATTTATGTAAGGGACAGATTGGCTTTCACACAGACCTAGTTAGAGGCAGTGGGAACTGCCCAGTCTGGGAGAAGTCCCAGAGCACATTTTGCCCTGACCAGGCAGAATACTTGCTGCTGCTCCAGGCCACCCATTTCTCAAACCACCTCTTTGCTGTTTTCATGTTGCTGTGGGGCTCTCCTTCTTATCTAACCCAGGTCTGCCCTAAGTATTCAGCAAAGCCAGTATCTGAAGTTTAACCCATAAACTTAGAAGCAATACAGCAAACAAGAACACAAGGATTTTCTACAATTTGAAGGGAATTCGATATGGACCTTTGACAGGCCATACAGACACAGGAAACTTCTGTCCTCCTGCATACCACACACTCATAAAACATACAAAGCCTAAGCAAACTATGGCACAACATGTCAATAGCTGGGAAACAAAGAGAAGACTATAGCAAGGAAGAGCCATGAAGTGAACTTGATATTTTACATGTCTTGTTAGTTCCTGCCCAGAGGAAAGGCAGCAGATGGCAAGTGTACTAAAAATCTCCAGTCACATAACCTCGTGGATAACCAGACCTGAGGGTACAAGTAAGATGTGTGAACGGCCAGATGAACTCCTTAGCAGAAAAGGATACAACCTTCTGTCATATCAGGTACTGCTTGGCAACTGGGAGCATACAATGACATCCCACAGTAAATGTGGTATCTCGCAGTAAATGGAAGGTCGTGTACCTTGCTTACACTGAGGAGCAAGCTATTATGTCTTTAGCATGGGGTAAAAACATGACTGTAGTGATCACAGAATAGTTTTTGTATTGTATGTTCTAATGGTGGCTTGTTCACATCTCCATTCACTGAATGACCAAAGACAACTTCCCAGGTCAGGCAGTAACAAAAATGAGCAGTAACAATTTATTTCAGGTAAGTAATAATAGTATGTCTGCATGAGAAGACATAAATGGTCTAGGCAGAGGGTAGTGGTGTCATTGGCTTTGGAACTAGTCTTGAAAAATACAGCGAAACGTGTTTTTTTTAAAAAACAAAGTACTCCATGAGTATATGCACATAGACACTCTACGCTATTATCCTCTGTATGACCCCTGTGGAAATGCCAGATAGCAAAACAGCAAACTCCAACTGGACATCAGTGGAAAGTTCTTCCCCCCATGAGTGGTACGGCACCAGGTCAGAGAGGACAGAGAGGGCATGACAATGCCATCCTTGGAGACTTTTGAAACTCAGATGGCCAAAGCCCCAAGCACCATGTGCTAACTTTAAAGCTATCCCTGCCTTGAGCAGCAGGCTGGACTACAGACCTCCAGAGGTCCCTATGACCTCCATATATTTGACTTTAGCAGTTATATGAAGCATCAAATAAAAGTCTTACCTAATAATTCAGAGAGCCTTTAAAAAACATGTACATGGGTATTGTATTTTACGGATTTCAGTTTACAGAGAAAAACAGAAGCTTACATTCCATTTTTTTTCCTAGTTTTCTAGGGGTTTTTTGTTAAGCAAAGGCAAAGACGAGCAACAGAGTGCTCAGTATATTTAGAAAGTGACACAGATGCAGACGTCTGTCTAGACATGAGCAAAGAAGCAGCCGAAGAAAAAGATCAAATAAGAACATAATTGCCAACATTGATGGATTAGAATGGATATTTGAAATTGGTGCTATAGCCAGGCACACAAAATGAATCCATTTCTAATCTGTTTCTTCAAGTAGCGATACCAAAGATCTGAAAGAAAAATAAGAATCTATTTATAAGACAGTCTTAAGCTTCTCTGACCTCATGGAAAAGCTGCTCACAGTTGGCGTACTTTCATAAACGCATCTGTAAGAAACCTCCATTTCACAGTGCAAGTTAGGAAGTGAAGCAGCTCTTCAGGGTCAGCCAGAAGATGCAGATGCTTTTACATATCAGCATAAAAGAAGATTACCAACAGGACTGCATTTACTTGCTCATTATGTCAGTCTATTCCAGCATGAAAAGGAAGCCTCCTCACCTGTACCCAGAATCCCCTCTTTCCTTACCCCCACCCCCAAAATTTCACTGAACTGCAGAAGAGGGGATTGGAGAAGATCTCAAAGGACCATTTCTCCAAGGCAGGAACCACTACACTATTCCTGATAGGTGTTTCTCCAACCCATTGGTAATGACCTTTAATGAGATAATGAGACAATCTCCTGAAAGCTACATTTTTTTTTTCTGATGTCTGACTTACTTTCTTTGCTGCATTTTTTGCTCATTACATCTTGCCCCACCTCCTGTGGGTGTGAAGCAGAACATATTTTACAAAATCCTAGAACCACAGAATAATTCAGATGGGAAGAGACCTCAGGAGACCATCTAGTCCGACCTTCTGCTCAAAGCAGGGTTAATACTGAATCCAGACCACTAATGAATTCCTTTTTTGCTGCAGCCCTTAAAATCTTTGAAAGTTGTTACATCCCTCTGCAAATCCCTCTTTCTCGGGGTGAGGAAGGAAATCTTTTATCTGGAGTTTTCATCTCCCAAGGCCACTGTTCCAGGCCAGCATGCTGCTAATGTGTATATACACATGCACATGTGTGAACAGGAACCAAACACACAGAACAATCGATTGGAAGGAAAGTGAGGGAAAAGAGTGATCTCAGAAAGGAGAACGAGCAGAAATTAAATGTAACAAGCTTGACCTACAAAGGACTATCTGGGCATGAGGAAAGAAAAAAATTAGTAGGAAGGAGAAGAAGAAAAACAAAACGTCTTACAAAAACACAGGTGTAAAGAGCTTGACTGGTTTATTACAGCAAAATGAAGATGAATAGAGGATATGATTCCCATTGGGCTAGAGCTGTTTAAGCTAACAGGTGATTTTGGCATACCAGGAAATGGGTATATACCCAGGCTTCAAATTCAAAGGTTTCTACGTGCCACAAGACTGAGGCCCTTGAAGACTGTACTAACATGAGCAGCATGTTTTAAAGGGACTTTCGTTCATTCAGGATACTAGACTGGAGTCCATGTCTCAGACAGACCTTTGCAATTCTCAGCCCTATTTTTAATAAAGTGGCTGAGGACAAAGGAAGTGGGACACAGGGCAAGAGCTGAGATATATCATGCAAACCTTAAACAGGGCAAAAGAGTTCCGGATTTCAGAACGATGGGTCTGTTGGACCTGAGCAGGTCATGCAGGGAAGTAGAATGCAAATCCCCAGCTTTATATTGCAGACGTGTTGCAGAAGACATCATGTCACTTGGGGGAATTTTGCACCAGTCTGGCAGCCCCTGGGCATGTTTTCAACCAGCCCACATAATCCCACTTCACACTCACTGTGCAGCTCCCTTAAGGCACCTTCCCCTGAGGAGAAGGGCAAGGCTCATGTACTAATAGGGATCTCCTTACCTTATTTATTCGGAAACAATGATGTTATAAATTAATCTTTTGTTATGCACCCACTGGGATCATTAGAGCTTTGAGAGCTGGGTACATTAGAATTCTGGAGACTTTTAGAGTAATTGTAAATTTGATTTAGTTTTTAAATTAGTAGCTGCAATTGCTTTATGTACCACTTTCCACATGGAGGTGTCTTTGCAGAGGACTCTTTCTTAAATTTATTTCAAGATGTAGATTATTTGGCTTCCTGAAATAGCTTCAGACATGGATTAAAAACTGTATGTTTATCATTTACTGGCAAGGCTGACCAGCTGCAACACTTTGTAAGGCAATTACTCTTTAATTCACCACATAACCTCTCCAGGGAATATCAGAAAAAAATATTGCAACATTGGCTGCCACTAAATCCAAAGTAAGAGATATGAAATTATACTTTTAATTGGTGTGGACTGGATTTTGAAATGCACATGAACTCTAACCTACCAAGTTCTCTTTAAATATTTCTGCGAGAAAATGAGGAAAAAATTGCACTCCGTTACTCGTGCTAGCAACTTTTCCTCTGACAGCACTGAAGCTAATTCTGAAAACTTAGTGGCACGTAAAGCCCTTCTCTCTCAAAACAACCTTTGAGGTAGTTTACACTGGATTTGTGGAGTAACTTAAAACTGGGCTCACTATGTGATCTGCATTTCAGAGTACTTTGCAAGTTCACTTCAGCGATCATATCGGAGTACTTTCCAGACTATGTATTTCCATCCAGACTATGAGAAAAAAACCGTCTCAGATATCTCCTTTGATTCACAGTCCTAATACTCATGCTGGTACAGTGTTATTTATCACTGATTTGAATAAACTCTCTCAAGAGAGATAACTTTTTATATATGAAAATATAAAAGCCTCTGACAAGCGTTACAATTTCTGTTATGAAGAGTTGGATATTTACTGAATAAGCAATATAATTTCAATAATTCAGATCACATACTAGAACTATTTCAGAACCATTACAGTTCAGTTACCTGTTCAGAACCAGTTACAGTTACCTATAACTCCTATTTATTTGTACAATATAATGGAAAAGAAAGATTCCTGTTCACAGCCCCTGGTGCCTCAGACATCTACTTGACTTCCTAGGAGCCCAGATGAGTTTGTGTCAAACAAACAAATTATCAACACTGACCACGCAAAATGAACTGCAAGTTCAGAAAGCAAAGTGCAGTACAGCCAGAGGTAGCAGATCAGCCTTTCTATGAACCCCACACGTCTTGAGTATCTCGGTATCATCAACCCACATAACTGTCCTCACAGTCTACATTTGGTTACCCTGAGATGTTGTGTGAAGAAGCCATAGTTTCACCTAGACAGCACTGCCTTTGGTCTTCAGGAGCTGAAGTGAGAGCGCAGGCAGAGAGCCAGCAGCAGGACAACTTATGAGTGAGCTGCGCAGCAGGAGGTGGGTGAATGTGAGAGGAAAACACAGAGCTCCTCACACAGGCAGCAAACTCCATGCCTTGCAGTGAGCTCTGGTTCCTGCATAGGTTCTGGATCTGCAGGGGATAATCCATACAGCCTGTTAAGCAGAGTTTCTCTAGGCAGTTTTCCCTCAGTGTGTATGTTTCTCTTAAAAAGGAATAATCTGTTGTTTCATTGCTTTTCTGTGCCTAAAAAATGCTTTCTAAGAATTGTTCTTTCAAAGTGAATCTCAAATTGTCTTAATGACACTTCCTAGTAATGGAAAAGAGTCACTTTCTCGAAAAAAGACGCTCTGAAGGTATTTAAATTTCCAAACAGCTTCTTACCCCACAGTACCGCTCCTCATTGAAGATCTGTGGAGGGAGGGGAATTCCATTTTGAGGCTTTTTTTCACCCGGGACATTCTCTCTCATCCATTTCCTGTTGTCTTCATCACCTGCTATGTCCATTTGCTGAAAGTCAATCTTGTTGGCCTCTAAAAAGCCCACTACTTCTTGCTGTTTCTTTTTGATCTGGTTAGAAAAGAGGAAAAACAAAATTCCTTCTTTAAAAAGAAAACTATTTTCTAAAAACTATTGCAATTACAAGCAGAACTAATGCAAGTATGTCAAGTTGGATCTGCTACTCCAATAGCCCCCAAATTTTTGGAAGCTGAGATTCAGCACTGCTTCTCAGTACCCAGACCACTGTCATTACTTCCTGCTGCTCCCCAGCTTCTTTCTTTCCTCCCTGAAA